ATCAGCTTGAGCTAGTTACTGAAAGATATTAGAAGCCTTGAGTCAATATTTACATTAACATGAAAGCTCATACCAAAAGCCTGATAAGAAACAATCACTAGCTCGCTGGCTTCACCATCCCTGCCCATGAAAATCTAGTATCAAAATCTAGACAAAAATGAAAAAAAATAATGGAGATCACCCACATCTATAAACACTTGTGAGGCATCTGATGTGCATATTTCTTCTGTTTCCTTTTTTTTCGTCTCTCCTCCTCACTCCAATTTCATAGAATCATAGAATCAATGGCAGAGATAAAGAGTTTCATTCATTTTTCAACATTCATGATTCCCTTTTAATGGAAGACAGGACTTGTGATAGATGTACACCATACCTTGATCGTAATCTTGCTTGTTTGATTCTAGGCTTTTCACATTCCTATTTGCACAGCTAAAAAAGAGCCAAAACCAAGCTCATTAAATAAGATGAGGCAAAACTAAGATCAATGAAAGATGAAGGCATCCCTTGTCTTAGATAACAATTTTTCAGTTTTCCCCAACTCTATGGCATCTATAGAATCATTGCACATATGCATACAATTGAGAAAATTTCAACCCTTGACCAAATAAAGACTAATAAAAGCATAGATATAAATGATATGATATTTGTTGCTTAAACAAAAAAGATAAATAAATGTCCCTATAGAAGGAAATACAATTTTAATTGGTTCTTGTAAGTTACATGCCAATAATATGACATATAATTCATTTTCTTGTTAGGTTTTAGATAGCAAAGCACTTGAGTAAAGCTAACAAGAAAAACAAAGACTGAAGAAAGCTTTAAAAAAAATCACCTTGAATAAAGCTAGCTGCTAGTCTTTGTCTATTATGACGTAGAATAAAATTCATTTTCTTGTTTAAGGTTTTAGATAGCAAAGCATTTGATGAATGCATAAGACTGAGGTGGGTATGGCTTACAGGTCCATGGGAAGCAATGCCCTTCCTATTTCCTACACAGGATGTCAAAAAAAGCATCAACCACTTAAATGATAGCCCAACTATTAAAAAAGGGGGAAAATTCAATCTTCTCAAGAGTAGAAGTGGAGGAGAAATTCAAGTCCATATCAATTCATACATGATACACCAAAGAGGCCTGAAAAACTTACATGACATTGAGCAGCACATGCTACTGTTTTATAATTTACACTACTGTGGCAGCAGGAACTTGTCCTTACTGCTCATAACAGTGTTTTGCAGCTGATAAATCCCAAATTGAGGGCTTGAGTTTGTCTTTCCTTTTCACTGATAGGCTCTATTAATCCTTCTAACAGAAAACAAATCCTAAACCCGCAATAAGAAGCATAACATCAACCAAAAAAGAAAAGAATAGTGGGGTGGCAAAGCCTAAAATATTTTATTTCTAACTTTTTAAGTGGGGTGGCAAGAAAAAGACTTGAAAAAGTATATATTCTCTGCTCTTATAGTTTTCATTCAAAACCTTACTCTTTTTTTTTCTCTAATCTATCAAATTTTTGTTTCACCAAACTAAATTTATGTTTCCAAGAGCTATCAACCAAAATGTAATGAACAAACACGCCACCAAGCACAAATTAGCATGAAAGAGAAAAAGAAGTATAGAAGGGTACAAACCATGTTGTCATGAATATCTTCTAGACCTGCAGAGGTGGAACAAAGCCTCACTGACACAATACAACCTAGAAATCAAATAAGAGAATGAGGAAGAATGGGTTTGCCCTTCTCTTAAGTTTGAAGAATTACCATTTTTTGATTTTCAAATATGACTATACTTTTTTCTTTTTTTTTTTAATGGGGATGAATCTATAATAGTTCGTCAAAGTTGCATAGTTCTAATCCCATCTCTTGTTATGAAACTTACAAAGTTTTCATGATAGAAAATATATGATAAATTAACCATAAGAAAGAGAATTTATAGGCAAGAATAAGAAAGAGTAGAAGAAGAGCATCCATTTGTCTGTATGATTCTGCCCTTTTTTTAAAGCTTTTTCTTCAGCATAATCTGCACAAAATAGACTATTTTTTTGATCTAAAGCACACTAAATCAAATTAATACCATAGAAACTTGACAGAATTAGCAAGCATCCTCACCAAATAATGCCAAGCCTTTGATTAGAATTGCAAAACTCTAATAGTTGCTATATTTGGCCTTTTCAACTATTATGACCACTTTCTGAATATGACACAAATAAATGATCCTCTTGAATCTTTTGAGTTTATGGTACAAATAAGTTTCTATATCATCCAATAAAGTTTGCAATTTGCTAAAATAACCCTTTAAGTCTTACTCCTATCAAAAACCCTCTTTTAAAAGATATCATATTCTCAATCAGCCACCAACACTACAGCCACCATACCAGTGTCTAGATTGAAGGAAGTTCTAACACATACATAAAGAAAAAGGTCTTCCTATTTTAATAGAGACCAAAGGTATTATAAATTTAAGTTTATCCAATGATTCCAATGAAAAGGAACAGAAAGTCCATTATTTCATTTTTAAATTCAAATTCATACAAACCAAATGATAGAGCAGAGAAGGAATAAAAATTTGGAACACAATCATAAAAAAAAAAAAAATTGCATGAGCAAACCAAAATAAAATGTCACCTGATATCAGCTCCAATCTCCTTGAAATTGCCCCTACCATTAACCGTTCAAAATCAGATCTCTGGTTTACTCAAAACAGGGATAAGAATTTGAGGCTTTCCCAAAAAGGTAAAGATATATGGCATGAAAGCTAGAACCAAAAACATGAAACAGCTTCTTATCATATTATTGGATATTATTAAATTTGAGAACTGGTGCTGGTGCTGGTGCCGGTGCTAGTGTTGGTGCTAGTGTTGGTGCTGGAGTTGCTAACTTATCAGGGCAACCCAAGAACAATGCCCCCCAAACCCAGCACCACCACTACCACCAAAGCTCCTGCCTCCAAGCCCACCCATAAGAAGATTGAGCAGAAGCCTGCAGCGGCCCCTAAAAAGAAGGTATATACATTTCCTTCACATTTATACTCTTACGTAATAAGCTTTGGGTTTCAGTAACATGTCCAACATGTATATGTATTGTTTTTTCTAACTTCTATCAATTGTTACTGATTATATATTGTGAAACAAAGAATGCTGAGAGAAACAGCTCTTTCAATAACACTATTTTCGAGTGAACTTCTTCCTTGAATTAGAAGGCTTCAGTTAGAATCACCCGGTTAATATGATTGCCAGCCTCCCAAATAATTGATGATAGACAAAACTTTCCATATCAAGCATGAACTTAAAACTGTAAAAAACATAGTTGGTGACAAAAAATATGTATCCCTGCAAGAAAACACTAAATATATCTCAACAAATATGTATCCAGAATAATCAGCAATTCCTCTACATTGCTAAATCACAAAAAAATACTACTTCCATATGTCAAAAAATGTTTCATATTCTCAAACCATAGAAAATCAATCATACAACCTCCACTAACACACTGATTGACTCAATACAACAGAAAAACATGAAATTTTGAGGAGTTGTTTTATTTAAACAATATAATCATATTCATACTGCCTTTCCAACCGTGTAAGAACAAACTGCAAATGCTGCTTATCAACATGAAAACAACTGCAGTGATGGCAACCTCCAAGAATCCCCACCAAAATTGGAGTAATCTCATGTCAAAGAACGAAAAGACTTTTAGTTCTGGGTTTTTTGGCATTCCAAACTAAAACCAAGAAATAAAGACAATTGCGAAATGCAAGTGTAGTTGTTTCTCATCCCAACTTCAATAGGTATATGAAAAGGAAACATTGCAGCATTGAGTACATAGAGACCCAAAGAACAAAGTATGTGATTATGGGATTTATGGCCAAAAGAAGCTCAATTTTGTATTCTCCCATCCCAAAATCTGGAAAAAAAAAAAAAAAAGAGTAAAAATGAACCAATCAGACATCTCTCCACAATTTCTTAAAAATAGAACAATGAAAAACAATTAAATCTAAAACAGTGATATTCATTCAATTTATATATTATAAGATTCTTTCATTAAAAAAAAAGTATTATTCAATAAAATAACTTACCTGTATCTAACATAGATATATCTGTTAGCTTTTCAACCCCAACATTGCTCTTTCGGTTAGAAGTAGACTCAACAGAATCATTAACAACTAAACAAAAGTTCTAGCAAAAAGCAAACAACTAAATTTTTTACTTAAAAATAAAATCACAGTTATAATATGGTAACCTGCATCACACACTCACTGGAAAAGGAAGCAAGGCCCTACCACGCTCTCCGTGCTTATGTTTAAAAGTAGAAGATTCACCACAACCATTCAAAACAACCACTCTCTCCTCTGTAACACCAACATTTTTCAAAGTAAAATGCCTACCTCGCCTTACACGAATAGAATAACTTTCCACAGTTTCTTAAAAGTAGAACAAAGAAAAAAGTCAAAATTAAAAATAAGCATAATAAAAGTTTGAGTAAAATGCATACAACTTAATTTTTAAGTATTTACTTAAAAACTAAAGCAACATAATAATTTAATAAAACAACCTACTAGCATTAAACACAGGTTCAGCTGGAAGATTTTTAACCCCAGCATTCCTCACTTGAAGAGGAAGCAAGGCCTTGCCACACTCTTTGCATTTTAGGTTTAAGAGTAGAAGATTCACCGCAATCATCTATAAAAACCACTCCCTCCTCCACAATGTTAATATTTTTGAGCGTGGGACACTGACCACATCTTGAACAAATAGAAGTTCCCTCCATAGTTTCCTAAAAACATAATAAATAAAAGGCAAAACTACAATAAAGATACTCAGTCAACTTAGATAGCACAATCTTTCCATTGAAAGATAAGCATAATAAAAGTTTAACAAATAAGAAATAATCCTTCAAGCGACACAGGTTCTTCATGCGCCAAAGTAGCATATTCATTATACTCATTCATGGCAAGTTTTGTGCTCTCTTTAATTCCAGTATCTTCAACCAAAGATTCCTCATGTCTTGAATTAATAAGAGCTGCTCTGACTGTTTCAAAAGAAGAGATGCCAGCATTTCCAAATCAAGGACACCTCATAGACCCCAAACTAATAAAAGCTCTCTCAACAGGCTCGTTAAAGGAACAACAAACTTTCCAAACAAAAGACAATGCATATGCTTTGAACTGATAGAATTTGCCTACAAAGTTTTTTTAAAATAATCCAGTCTTAACTTTAGTAGCTTGTCCATTGGAAAATAAACAAATCAAAAGAATTAAGTGAAGAATGGTGTGCCTTTCAGGCAACACCTGCTAAGGAGGTAAGTTTTCAATCAAACTATTACTAATCTCATGAAGAGATGCCATGCTTGCATGATGTTTAAATCCATGGTTCAAAGACGTCGATTCAACGCAGTTATTCACAGCAACCAATGTCCTCTCTTCAGTATAAACATCTTGAATCACAGATTGTTGGGCATGTTTTGAATTGATGAGAGTCATTTCAATAGGAGATACCTCAACAGATTCTAAAGAATGGAATAAAAAACAAAATCAAAACAAAAAAGGGAAAAACTGTCCTCTCTATCTTAAATTTAGTGAAGTTTTTTTATAAAGACCTAAAAAAACAAAACAAAAGAAACAAACAAAAAAAGCAGAAAACCATTTAACTTAAATTTTTATTCTCTTCACTTAAGTGTAATGAAATAATTTAATGAAGCAGTTGCATACCTTTGACAAACATAGACTCAATGATTAAATTTTCAACAGCAGTCTCTTCCCTCAAGTGAATATTTACCATCTTCATCTGCACGAATCCCCCTCCTTTGTTCAACCCCAGTATTTTTATGTATAAGACATCAATGTCATACCAAATTAATAATCGTTTAGCTCTTTCTTTCTATGAATTGTTGATCACTATGTAATGTAAACAACCTAATCAAACCCACAGATGTTTCAACACTTGTTAAATTAGAGAATACCCAATGAAAACCTTGACTTTGCTCAACCAACCATATAACCAGATTCCCAATGACCAACTATATCACTCTACCAAACCATACAAGGATACATAATTTGAACACACTAAAAAATCCAAGCTACCAATTTGCACAGCAACAACATAAAAATAAAAAAAGAAGATTAATTCTATGTTCATAACACATACCTCCAAACAATCAATAAAACCACTAGTCCGGCAAAAATGATAAAAAAAAAAGAAGATAAAAACATTATATAACCTCTAAAATTTTTTCTCTACATCACTATATAATGTTAATACAATTTATATTCCATGTATATCCTTTGGAACTAATATACATGATTTAGCAATTAGCAATTAGCAAAACTCTCCTTATAGATGAACTCAATTTACTTAAACTACAAATCTTGCTACTGTATTTTTCCAGCTAGGTATCATAAAGCTGCACTTGTTGCAACAAATTGTTCTGATTTCTAACCATCTATAAATTTTGAGGCTAGACAATGAAATAGGAAAAGGTGACCAAAGATTGGCTACCTTATTTATATTGTACACAAAAGCATGCCCACTAATTGCAGGTATACACTTTAATAGGAAAGAAGCCAGCAAACATGATGGTAAGCCATTGCTGCCTCAGTACTTTTTCACCAGCTCACTACTGTGTAAAGAAGAGGGTGAACAAAAGAGTTACAATTTTGATTAAAAAAAAAAAACCCAAAAATCAGAACAGTTACAAGAGACATCACTATTTTCAGGATCTTATCTGTCCCTTGTGTTTGTTTGTTGTCTATGACCCTATCATCCCTTTTAGCAAGCCCTTTAGCCCAGTGAGCAGTTGTAACTTTCAAAAAGTTTAGAAAGCCGTTCAAGATTATCAGTTTCATCATTTTCAGAAGATGTAAACTTCTAGAGTAAGGACAAAAGATAGGAAAGAATGTAAACTTCTAGAGTAAGAACAAAAGGCAGGAAAGACAGTACCACTCCAGAACACAATTGCTGAGAATATAGATGAACTACAGATTAAGTACACTATAGATTAGGAAGAAGAAGAAGCCTTCCACTGATTCATCCATGAAATAGAATCATACCATAGAGTACATTTACAACCATAAGATGTTAAGCTTCTTCTTTAAAACACCACCATCTTGGTTCCTTATAGTTCCGTGACCTATTCTCCATAAGCGAGGTGAAGCACACAAGTAAACCAAATCAATTATACTCATTAGTAAATAATAAAATCAAACAGAAACAAAAACAGAAGGAAATGAATTGTTTTGGGTGGGCATAAAGGAATGATTAATAGGTCTAGGGTTCAGTTGTCCATTTTGTTCTCAAAAAGAGCAGAGAAGAAAAAGGTATCTAAAGGAACAATTCAAAATGTAGATTGAAAATAAACCATAATTCCACTGAACACTTTGATCATAAAGAATATTGACATTTCCCAATTCTCAAATCAATTAAACATCACAATCAGCCTTGTGCTAAAAGCTATTAAAACTTAAAAGATAGGCAATTCTCAAAAGAATAACAAAGGCCACAAGAATTGAAATCAAATCAAATCAAACCAAACCACAATTCAAACACATACCAGAATCTTAAAATAACTTACATATCATAATCAACATACAATCAAATTGCAACAAAATTCAATCTAACTGACCAAAAGAAGGGACTTAAAAACCAAACATCTAGAACAAACTACTGGGGCTTTAATTTGCAATAAAACCCTAGCATTGGTCAACCTCAACAACATACACAAAACCAGTAATTGATATCAAAGTAAAGATTTGAATATATCTGATTTCTTGCAAAAGTATATCAAATTCTTAATTCCCTAATGAAACTGTTCATAAATACGTACACAAAACATTGAGACACCGAATTTGCAAACCAATAAATATACCTGATCTCTTGCAGAGAACAATCTCGCCCTTGGCAGCGAAATTCCCAAACAAAGTTAGAAAGCCCTAAACAGGAAGAGAATGGGAAAACTCCATAAAACTCCAAATCTAATTTATCAATCTTAACTTTCATTAGGCTTTTCTTTAAATTTACATCTTCAATTTCTACCAAAAAAACCTTAGACTACGCCACCATATACTAAGAAGGGAAAATACCAGTTCCCAAGTGGAAGCTAAGTTGTAGCATCTGAACATGGATCCCAGTCTGAGGAGGATTGGAGGTGTAGCGGCACGGTGAGGCGAAGGGTACAGCGACGCTGAGGCCTGAAGGCGTAGAGCGAGGAGAGATTCGAGAACGACGCAAAAATAACCGGGGGAAAGAAAGGGGATGGATATAGCCGTTAGAGTCGATAATCGGATGCTATTTATAGGCCTGCATGGACAGAACCGAATCGTGGGCCGGAGGAATGGATCAAGGCCTTTCCCTTCTTTCGCCCATTTGATAGGAGAAAGTCTAGAATATCACCCGGATACCACGTCAGTGGTATCCCGAACCAATAAAGAGGCAACATCTCAGCATCACGGATACAGCTCATCGATGTAACGGGAGAAAACATTTAACGTCATCAAGAAGCGTTAACGTCATTGACGGAGAAAAAGCCCTAGCTTGCCCAGGTTAGAAGACCTCCCTCC